ATACCCCTCTGGTTTCTAGCTAGCAACATCAGACCTGAGAGGACTGGAATGTTGAAGTAGCTTCCTTTTTTTTGTTTTGTTTTGTTTTTTGGCTTCCAACCATGAAGTTTGATGGGAACAATATTCCATTTTCTCTGAGGTAGTTTTTTTTTAATTCAGAATTAATGTTGGACAAACTATAAATATCAGTTTTCACATTCTCTTATTCATTAGGAAATAATAATTTAGCTATTTCTAACCCAGTGGGTTACTAAACTTTGATCATACACTTTGGAGCTGGTTGATAGGATTCATACTGAAATCGTTGTCATTGCTGTCTGCAATAGGAGGTAAAAGACTTTATCCTGCATCTCAGGAGGCCTTAGGCTATCACTTAATAACAACAGACTCTTAGGCAAATGGATGCATTTTCTGTTACTAGGGAATAAAATGTGAATAACTCAGAAGTTTAAAATGACACTCATTTATAAGGTCCAAGGTTTTGTAGGTCAGCAGTGTGGGCATGTTATCACTGTATTCACTTCTCAAAGTCTCACTGGGGTGTTGGGGTGACCTGTCTCCTCTTTGATTTAGGGTGTTCTCCCCAGCTCACCAGTTGTTGGCAAAATAAGTTCTTTTTAACTGTAAGGTTGAGATTTCTGATTCCTTGCTGGTTATTAGCTAGGGGTCTCCTCTCAGCTCCTGGAGGCTTCTCATACTTTCTACATGACTCCTCCCTCTTCAAGCCAGCAATTGCTCATTGAGTCCATCTAGTTCTCCAAAATCTGAGTTCTTGTTCTGCAGCTAGCCAAAGAAAACTGCTTTTCAAGGTCTTATGTGATTAGATTATAACCATGCATATAATCTACTTTAAAGTCAACTTTATCATTCAACGTTAAACCTCATCATGAGAGTAAAACTTATTGTTTTAGTCAGATTTTTTCACTGCTAGGACTAAAAGATCTGATCAGAACAATTGTAGAAGAAGGAAAAGTTCATTGGAGAGCTCACAGTTTCAGAGGTCTATCTCCATAGACAGCAGGTTCTGTTCATTAGGGTTGGAGGTGAAGCAGAATATCATGGGGGAAGAGTGTGGCAGAGGGAAGCAGCTCAAATGGTGATCAGTAAGCAGTGAGACTCTACTAGCCAGATTCAAAACATATACCCCATAGCCACGCCCGCAATGTACCACTTCCACCTGCCTCCAGTTACCACTCAGTTAATCTCATCAGGGATCAATTCGCTGATTAGGTCAAGACTATAACCCAATCATTTCTCCTTCAAACCTTCTTGCATTGTTTCATACATGAGCTTTTGGGAGACACCACATCTAAACCACAACACCCTTCATATTCACAGTTCTGAACATTATGCAGAATGTTTACATCAGGGATGCAAATAATTTGAATTCTGTGTACCACAGCAAGTCCCTTAGCTTCATTTGGCCTCACTTAGCTAATTTACGAAGCTATAATCTCTAGCTTTTTCACATAGTTTCTAATTTCCAGGACCAAATTATTCATAGACACAGACCAGACCACTCACAGACACAGACCATTATCTAATTAATTAATGCTATATGTTCAACCAGGCTCTTTTTTTTTTCTTTTTGACAGTCTTTTTTTTTTTTTTTTTGATAAACCAATGGTGACAGAACAACTCTTTTAACCAGGTGCTATTTTCTGAATGTTCATATCTACCCAATATTCATATGTGTATATCCTCATGCCCAAAGTGATGGCATTAGAAGTTGGAGACATTGGGAGGTGAATAAATTATGAGGATGGGGCCTTCATGAATGGGATTAGTGATCTCATAAAAGAGGCCCAAGAAAGATTGCTTGCCCCTTCTACTATGTGAGGACACAGAGAAAAGGCACCTTTTGTCAACCAGAAAATGGGCCCTTCACCAGACAGTGGATCTGCTGGAGCCTTCTTCGTGGACTTCTGAACCGACAGAACTGTGAGAAATAAGTTTCTGTTGTTTATAAGCCACACTTGGTTTATGGTGCTTTGATATAGCAGTCCAAATGGACTAAGATACCATGCTTTCTAGGTAAAACCAAAGAGAACAAACGGAAAGAAAACAGCAATGATACATGGTCTATAATTTTCATAGACCAAAAAAAACAGCACTAGAGACAAAATAATAGCCTATATACAAAGAACATGTATGAATTATGTGCTTCTCTAGAGAGGAAAACTATGGCTAGTGGTAAAGAAAGCATTGCTTGAACATTTTACTTTTTACCTTGTTCTGTCAGTAGCATGTAGTTCTAGGAAGGTAGTGTCCATGGATTTTTGGTAAAGTTTTCTTTGCAGAGTTTTCTTACATGTTTCAAAACTTATTAAATTTCTAAAATCGTTGTCAAGAGCACTTCTTTTCTACACTTGTTTCACCCTAAGTAAAGCAGTCACTGTTTAAAACTTCCGGCTTTCGAAGGTACAGATCTGACTTCCGACTACAATATAATCCAATTTTTTAAAATATCTATTTCTTTTATTTGTACACAATGCCTTTATTTTTATTTATTTACTTTTATGTAGTGCTGAGGATCGAACCCAGGGCCTCACACATGCCAGGAAAGCACTCTAATCTTAAAAATCACATGTGAATTCGCTTTCCTTCAACAATTAATTTTTGCACCAACACATTCTTTCTTCTTTGGGATAGGAATTGTCGATTCTGTGTTGCTCAACATGACCTTTCTGTGTTGGAGAGGAGTTGAGATGGAGGAACCTCAATAGCTGTTCACGACTTTGCCTATGTCTAATTTTAAGGAGCATAAACAAGAATTAAAAAAAAGAAAACACAATCCCTTTTCTTCTTTTCAGCCTCTGGACTAATCAACAAAAAGTGGAAGTACTAAAAAGATGGAAAAGTGCTT